CTGCTAAGAAACTTATACACAATTAAAATTGAAACATATTGAGAAATCTTGCTATCCTTGGAACTCTCCTATTTTTGTTATTAAAAAAATCTAACACAGCGTAGCCAAAAATAAATTAAAAAAAAAAGTTTACTTATGAACATGGGAATCTGAGCTTTGTGTAATTTCCATATGTGATAAAATATTATTATTCTCTTAATTTTGTCCAACCAGTAAAAAACATAAAAACCACCCAGGTTTCAATCTATACACAAACAGGACACCTTTGGCCTACAGTGCTATGGACTGGCAACCCCTATTGTATAAGAATAAAGATGTGGAAATATGTGTTGACACATTCAGCAAGGGACAGGCATGCCTCATTCTATTGCACTTCCCTTTATTCTGCTTCAAAGATGCTGCTTTTTTTTTTTTAACAAACTGAAGGTTTGTGGCAACCCTGCATCAAGAAAGTGTGTTAGCCCCATTTTCCAACATCATTTGCTCACTCCGGTCTCTGTGTCACGTTTCAGTAAGTCTTGAAATATTTCAAATGTTTTCATTATTATTATATTTGCTATGGTGTGATCTGTGATCTTGGATGTTACTACTGTAACCATTTGAAGGCACCGTGAACCATGTTCATATAAGATGAACTTAATCAATGCTGTATGTATTCTGATTGCTCCATCTGCTGGTTGTTCTTCTGTCCCCCTCCCTCTCCCCAGGCCTCCCTATTTCCTGAGACACCACAGTATTGAAATCAGGCCAATCAATAACCCTACAGTGGCCTGTAAGTGTTCAAGTTAAAGGAAGAGTCCCATGTCTCTCATAAATCAAAAGCTAGAAATGATGGTGTTTGGTGAAGAAGGCATGTCCAAGTTGAGATAGACTGAAAGCTAGGATTCTTCTACCAGTTCAGTTCAGTTCAGTCGCTCAGTCTTGTCTGATTCTTTGCAACCCCATGAACTGCTGCAGGCCAGGCTTCCCGGTCCATCAGCAACCCCCGGAGGTTACTCAAACTCATGTCTATTGAGTCAGTGATGCCATCCAACCATCTCATCCTCTGTCGTCCCCTTCTCCTCCCGCCTTCAATCTTTCCCAGCTTCAGGGTCTTTTCCAGTGAGTTAGATCTTCACATCAGGTGGCCAAAGTATTGGAGTTTAAGCTTCAACATCAGTCCTTCCAATGAATATTCAGGACTGATTTCCTTTAGGATGGACTGGTTGGATCTCCTTGCAGTCCAAGGGACTCTCAAGAGTCTTCTCCAACACCACAGTTCAAAAGCATCAATTCTTCTGCGCTCAGCTTTCCATAGTCCAACTCTCACATCCATACATGACTACTGGAAAAATCATAGCTCTGACTAGATGGACCTTTGTCAGCAAAGTAATGTCTCTGCTTTTTAATATGCTGTCTAGGTTGGTCATAAATTTTCTTCAAAGGAGTAAGTGTCTTTTAATTTCATGGCTGCAGTCACCATCGGCAGTGATTTTGGAGCCCCCAAAAATAAAGTCTGTCACTGTATCCAGTTTCCCCATCTATTTGCCATGAAGTGATGGGACTGGATGCCATGATCTTAGTTTTCTGAATGTTGAACTTTAAGCAAACTTTTTCACTCTCCTCTTTCACTTTCATCAAGAGGCTCTTTAGTTCCTCTTCACTTTCTGCCATAAGGATGGTATCATCTGCATATCTGAGGTTATTGATATTTCACCTAGCAGTCTTGATTCCAGCTTGTGCTTCATCCAGACCAGCATTTCTCATGATGTACTCTGCATGTAAGTTAAATAAGCAGGGTGACAATATACAGCCTTGATGTACTCCTTTTCCTATTTGGAACCAGTCTGTTTTTCCATGTCCAGTTCTAACTGTTGCTTCCTGACTGGCATACAGATTTATACCAGGTTAGTCAAGATGTAAATGCAAAGGGGAAGTTCTTGAAGGAAATGAAAAGTGCTATTTCAGTGAACACAGGAACAATAAGAGAGTGTAACAGCCTTATTGCTGATATGGAGAAGGTTTTAGTGGCCTGGATAGAAGGTGAAACCAGCCACAACATTCCCTTAATCAGAGCCTATACAGGGCAAGGTCCTAACTCTCTTCAGCTCTGTGAAGGCTGAGAGAGGCGTGGAAGCTACAGAAGAAAAGTTTGCAGCCAACAGATGTTAGTTCATGAGTCTTAAGGAAAGAAGTCATCTGCATAACATCAAAGTACAAAATGAAGCAGCAAGTGCTGATGTAGAAACTGCAGCAAGTTACCCAGAAGATCTAGCTAAGATAATCATGAAGGTGGCTACACTAAGCAACTGGTTTTCAGTGTACAAGAAACAGCCTTATGTTGGAAGAAGATGCCATCTCAGAGTTTCCTGGTTAGAGGGGAGAGGTCAGTGCATGTCAGAACTTTGAAGGATAGCCTGACTCTCTCATCAGGGGCTAATGCAGCTGGTGACTTTAAGTTGAAGCCAATGCTCATTTACCATTTGAAAATCCCAGGGCACATAAGAATTATGCTCAACCTACTCTGGCTGAGCTCCATAGATGGGACAGAAAAGCCTTTATGACAGCACGTGTGTTTACAACATGGTTTACTAACTATCCTAAGCTCACTGTTGAGACCTACCATGCTGAAAAAAAGATCTCTTTCAAAATATTACTGCTCTTTGACAATGTACCTGTTCACCCAAGAGCTCTGCTGGAGATGAACTATTAGGTTAATGCTGTTCCCGTGCCTGCTAACACAACATCTATTCTGCAACCCATGGATCAAGGAGTAGTTTTGACTTTCAAGTATTATTCTTTAAGAAATATGTATTTCATAAGATATATATATATTGCCATAGACAGTGATTCCTCTGCTAGATTCAGAAAAAGTGATTTGAAAATCTTAGGGAAAGAATTCATTACTCAAGATGCTATTAAGAGCATTCATATTTCATGAGAAGAGTTCGAAAATATCAATATTAACAGGAGTTTGGAGAAAGTTGACTCCAAACCCTGGTAGATAACTATGAGGAGTTCAAGACTTCAGTGGAGGAAATAACTGCAGATGTGGTGGAAATAGTGGGGGGAACTAGAAATAGGGTCTGGAGATGTGACTGAGTTGCTGCCTCCTCAGGATAAAACTTTAACATATGATGAATTCTTCTGATAAGCGAAGAAAGTGGTATCTGGAGATGGAATCTACTCCTGGTGGAGATGCCATGAAAGTAGCTGAAGTGACAACAAAGAACTGAGAATATGTAAACTTAGTTGGTAAAGCAGTGGCAGGGTTTGAGAGGACTCACTCCAATTCTGAAAGAAGTTCAAACCATCAGATGATTAGCACTTCTTAGCAATTCAGTATTTTTAATTAAGGTATGTACATTGTTCAGATATAATGCTATTGCACATTTAATAGACTAAAATATAATGTAAAAACAAATTTTATATACACTCAGAAACCAAAAAATTCATGTGCATTATTGGACTGGTCTGGAACCAAACCCAGTATATTTCCAGGTTGTGTCTATATGAAATATATTAGGGAACCACATTAAAAATTTAGTCTAAAACAAATTTTTTGTAAAAGAGGATTTTATTAATCTTGGGCCACATGTAAATGAGTTTAATTTTCTTGATATGAAAAATAACATAGGAGATAATCCCATGGTTATATTATTAATAAATTCAATTACTAATAAATTAAATAAATAGAAAGATTTAAAATCTTTAATGAATTTTATAATGTATGGAGGAGATTTTTGAGTGAATAATTATTTTGCTTTTTCTGTGAGATGAAAAATGAGCAAAATTGTTGCAACTTAGTAGGTGATCACTTTAAACATTTGGAATACTTAAAAATTTAAAACAAAAATTCACACTTTTATTTCTGAAAAGTGAATCATTTCAACATTAGCAAACATTACAATATATTCTTAGTATTTGTAGTGCAAGGAAAAAGTTAAATATAATTTACAATATATACATAGAGAAATATCAATAAAGTATTACAGTTCATAACTCCAGTACTTAAAATATTTCACCAAAGCACTGTTGTACACAGTAGCTGAACACTGTCCTATAGCCTAAACTATATTTTCTTCAATTACAACTTGTTTAAAGATAAAGAGTTTTCAAATAAAACACAATGCCAATTTAATGAATTTTTTGCAGTTTCGTATCCAAAACTTTCAGATGGTCATTTTCATCCAATTTTTTTTAAAAAAATATGTCACATGAGAGATACATTCTTTTCATAGATGCATGTTAATAATATCAGAAAAAAACCTACCTTTTTGGAAAAAATCTTTCAATTGTTATGAACTCTAATAAAAATGTAGATAAAATTATTGAAACCTGACACAGATATTAGAGTTTCCAGCAAAAATAAATTAAATATAAAGAGAATATAGTAAAACCAGCTTTAATGTTCTCAAGACATCAAGACAGTCATTTTAAAAGCCGTGATTACTAGATATAAGGAAAGCTGAATAATTTTTTTATTAAAAGGCATGATATAATCCTTTAAAATATCCTCTATAATATATATCTACACCCAAAGAGCCCCATATCTCATCAGAAAGTCATGCATTTTCACTAAAACGTGAATGTGTAGCTTTTGAATAACCATTGGGAAGTTTATATAAAAATAAAGCAGTTTCCTTAGGAAAACAAAGAAGAACTTTTGCCAAATATTCTGGGAAAAAACAAGCAAACAAAAAAAAAGACTTTTTCCTCTGAAAGTAATGAAGTTCAGTCCCTGGCAATGTGAACACTCACAGACTTATTCAAATGAAAACAAATTATTGTGCTTCTAGAAACTAGTTTTTTGTTTTTGTTTTTCCACTTGCAGAGTCTGAAACAGCATCTGGAAACCATCACCAAACTGTTAAGATTCATAAGCAAGCACTGGTGAGCAGAACAGAACCTGCTGCACCATTCCACTGCCGCTGAACACGTCTATCCACAGGGCACTGGTGAGTGATGGTGCTCCGCAGCCTTGTAACAGCATCGGGGGGCCTCTTTCTCCAAGCATATGTTCACGGATGTTTGAATTTATATCTAAACTCAGTATCATACAATGGTGGTAAAATGCCCAAGCCTGCCCGGGACTGGTCCAAAGGCGGACATTTGACACAGCTCTCCACAAGCTCCAGTTCGAAATAGGAAAGCATCAGGATCAAAAACTGCTTGATTTCCTGGACAGCGAATAATCTTCCAGGACATATAGTGACTCCTGACCCAAAGGGCATGTAGTAATACTTTAACTTAAGCCCATTACTATAGAAGGTAGTCTTTGTCTTCCCATTTTCATCAAGATAGCGATCGTATTTAAAAGTCTGCAATAAACATACAAAGGAAACAAATGCATAAGCTAGTTTAAAAAGAATCTATCTTTTTCTTAACCTGGAAGTTCCAAAGGGTAATTTTCTTTTTTAATCCAATCTATGAGTTACATAGCAAATATCCCACCTTGAATCAGAAAGTAATAAGAAATAGGAATTTGAAGAGAACTGAGGGGAATGGGAGAGCTTTATACCTCCTATCCCACCTGGGTGTCTAGTTTCTCCCTCCCTTAAGCAAAATGAGAAAGGATTTAGATCAGAAATTAGAAGAGTCAGTGTATTAGCCTCTAATTTCCTAGACTTGGGAAGAGGCACTTTTGAAGGAAGGAAGGAGGCAGCTTTATTATTGCAACTGCAGATGTAATCTATTAGAGATTGTTGTTGATATTTAGTCACTAAGTCATGTCTTACTCTTCTGCAATACCATGGATTGTAGCCCAAAAACCTTCTCTGCTCATGGGATTTCCCAGGCATGAATACTGGAGTGGGTTGCCATTTCCTCCTCCAGGGGATCTTCCTGACCCAAGGACTGAACCTGCCTCTCCTGCATTGGCAGGTGGGTTCTTTACTGCTGAGCCACCGGGGAAGCCTCTAGTCGAGATGTGATGGCAAATACCAGGAATAAAAATTAAAATTTCAGCCATCATCCAAATTCTCCAAAATATAATATGAATGTTTGACATTAATAAAGGAGACAGTCCCTATAGTTTCAATTATCAAATGAATTCTGCAGTGGTAAATTTCCACTTTATTTCGGTCTGGGTACACATCACCTGGACACTGAACTTTGATGAGCAGTTACTTACCAAAGGGTCTGGGTAGATTTCTGGATCTAAATGCATTAACTGTGGATAAAGAGCTATGATGTCATCTTTGCGGATATTATAGGAACCGTCCTGGAGGTGCAAAGTGAAGTCCTCTTTAGCAGTACGGATGTTAAGGGAAGCACTGGAAAGTCTCAGAGACTCCTTGATGATACTGTCTAAAGATTTTAAGAAAAATAAAGGAGGAGAAAAAAGGAAGAAGGAAGAACAAAGTATTTATAAAGGCCATGTAATGTAGAGTCTGATGTACCCCTAGCAGCCAATAACACAAACCTAAACAGACTAGGGGAAGCTGGCCAGATCCAGATTTCTCAAACTTTTTTATGTGCTATGATCAGTGATTGAGTTGTGCCTAATGTATTTTTTAATCTGATAATCTGAGCTATAATCTCTTGATATAATCTTCTTGATCATCAATGGGAACTAGACTTTCATAATTTTATGGAAAAATAATCTTATTTCTACATGATACTAGACATCTAATAATTGCAAAAAATCAGTAAATAACTTTTATGTGAATTATTCAAAGTTTATCACTTTTGAGGTTTAATATACTAACACTTTTATATGGAAATATTTGTTCCAGATGCAGCTTCACTTCTGTGTTTATAAGAACCTGTATATTTACCATTACACTACCTGGGGTTGTGTGAGTACACCCTGCATTCTCATAGGGACATAAAGGGACTCAAAGAACATGCTGAGAATAGCTGAAATATATGATGAGACCTTCCAGTCTCTGTCCTTTTAATTGTCATGCTCTAAGTGCTTATCACACAGTTGTGCATAAAATCATAGCACGTGAGCACTTGATTTCACAAATGAGAGAATAAGGCCCCCAAAGTGAAATGACATGTCTGAACCTCCACAGCAAGTCAGAGCCCCAAATGGGGCCTGTGCTTCTGGCCTCCCTGTCCCTTCTGCTAAGACACACTGCCTCTGAAAGTATACACTGGTTTCTTTCCTCTAAAGAAACATAACAAAAGCAAGAGAAAACTTTTTTCTTGCTTAAAAACTTAGTGCTTCTGTATTTCTATAAAATCCAGAGAATCAAACATTTTTCAATGAAATAAACTTCCACCCCATCTCCCAACCCATGCAGCTAATTGTGGTTTCATGGTGGTACATTTTCCCCTTTCGTTTCATGCACACAAATAATTTACTAACTATAAGAAGAGTGATAAGAGCAGTAACAAGGGAGGAAGTGCAGAGAAGAGCTTGAAAGTATAGGGTCAAGAGCTCCATGACAGGCTGTCACTGGTTCCTCCATCCCATCCCAGGCTGTGACTTAACCTCTAAATGCCTGTCTCCTCACTTGTTATATAGAAACAGTGCTAGTCCCCAGGCATGGGGTTGCTGGAGGGTCAGATGGGACATAACACCTGCAACAAGTAAGTGTGTGATGTGAGCTGACGATCACTGGTAGGAGGACACAGAAAATAACACGTAACACACACACAAGCACACCTAGCACGGGCATGTTGTCCAGTTGAATCTGATTCAAATGAATAGGATTGTCTTCAAAGCTAACTTTTTGACCAGCGTTCTCTAGTGTTTTATTTACTTCTTCAGTGGCCGCTTTCATTGCCTCCGGGTTTCTATGAAAAGTTAAGAGAAAAGAAAAGATGTATAGAGCATAAGTTTTTTCTCTACCAAAAAGTCTGCAAATAGGCATTTCCCCCTTCTTTTAACCAGGTGGTCAAGATACAGAGAAGGTAATAAAGGGACATTCCCATTTATTTTTTTTACTGTTTTATAGTTGTGCTTTTTAATTATTTTTATAGTTACTCCAGGTCTTAGTTGGGGCATGTGAACTCTTTGTTGTGGCATGTGAACTCTTAGTTGCGGCATTTGGGATCTAGTTCCCTGACCAGGGATCAAATCTGGGCCCCCTGCACTGGGGAGTATGGAGCCTCAGCCCTGAACCACCAGGGAAGTCCCTATAGTTGTTTTTAAGTCCTTGGATATTAGCAAGAACTGATGAAAGGGTCTTGCTACATGAAAGTAAAACTTTGGCCAGACTTTTAAATAAGTGATTCTAATGAGGATTAAATGGTCAAAGTAGTCATTGAATGGCAAGTGAGAAAGAAAGTTGCATCCAAGATAAGAACTCTAAAGTACTAGTTAAACTGCCAAAGGAAATTTAAATTTACTCTTAAAATCCTTATGATTCCACATAAAACAGCTTTTCCACTTGTATGATAATTTATTCCTCTGACACTTGAACCTGTGAAATGAATGCAGCTTCATTTTAGAGCACTGACATTCACTTGGTCCTCAGCACATGGTGAGGTGTCCATTCAACAGGATCACAGTTAACTAAGTCTCAGAAACACCTGATTGATGTCTCTGCATGACTATCAGGAAATGGTTACTATTACCTATAGGATATAAAGTTGCTGTTGTAACCTTGCTGTTAATATGTGAATTTACTCCAGATAGAGCTATCCAAAGTAAACATTTTAGAAGATATTTAATCTTAGAGACAGATGAGGTTTTTTATCTGAAATTTTAAAAAAGTATTTTAAAGACATAAAATTAGCAGCCCTCAACAGAACTTTGGCATTCCCAATCCAATTGAATAGTAATTTTGTGTCTGTGCAACATCCAGTTTAATTGGAATAATTCAATAAAACATTTGAATGTCAAATTCCCAAAAGACTAATAACCTTTGGGAAAGAAATCACGTTATGCAAAGTTTATGTTGCATCCAAGTTTTCTGTTATATACAGTGTTTAGAAGGCAAAATCTAGCTAAATTCCATCAATAACAGTATATTATGATTGATTCATAGGTATTAGAGTTGGTCAAATAGTATTATAGCAACCACTAACTGAGTGAAAGAAACAGCAATGTAGGCAGGCTGAAGTGACTTAGCAAGTATGCACGCACTGTCCTTTTTGCTGAGAGTACATCAGCAATCACATAAGGATATTTTTATGATTATAAAGACCAAATTCATGCACTTAAAGAGGCGTCGTGAAGAACAACCTGGCCTTAAGGAGAAAGGCTCTGGGTGCAGACAGCCTCACTGACCCTGTACCAGTATGTTCCTTTCCCCAGGACGGTCAGTCTCTGCTTCTACAAGATGCTTTTACCAGTCACAGCTGTTTTTAGAGGATCGGATGAGCCAATGTAAATATTAAACATTCACAAGAGTAAATGCCACATTCATGATTGACAGCATGAGAAGGTACCATGAGTCTTTTTTTTTTTTTTTAGTTACAATGGTTGAATTTCTGCTTTCAACTAAAATAAAGAAATAAATGGATAATCTGCTAATTACCTAATCATTTGAAACAAGCTCCAGAAAGTGGCTGGAATGGTGTTTGCTTGTGATGCCCAGAGGACTGCGAGGAGTGACTTGGCTCTCTCTGTGTCATCCAAGGTGGCGAATGTGTCATTAAGAAACCTGACCAGCTCTGAGATGTGGTCTCTTTCTCTGAGCTTCTGGAGCCTCAAGCCCTCCGTCAGCTTCTCCCGGGCGTAGTGTCCTGTCTTGAACACATGGATGGGGAAGCCAGCCACCAGGGCTGGAAAGATTTTATCAAATTGCTTGAAGTTGTCCAGGCTGTTTAGAATGAGCGCCTTTTGGGCATCTTGCCCTGCGAGATCGCGGCCAAAAAGCGTCAAGTAGCCAGCTTCAAACATGACCCGGTAGCAGAAGGAGTACATCCCCTCGGTCACCCAGGTGGGCGTGGGGGGCTGTGGTGGCCCCTGAGGTCTCAGGACAAGCTGGAGGTTTTCCATCATGGCTTCTGTGAGGGAGCTCAAGGCATCACCCTGCAGGGTCTTGATGATAGTTTTGCTTATGTTATCAGTGGTGTTTCCATCACTCGGGTCAATGCTTCTGTGTCCAAATGCCTGATGGGAAATGAAATGTGGGGGAAAAAAGAAATTAAGCCTGATCTAGGGCTAGTAAATGAGGGCATGGCAACCCACTCCAGTACTCTTGCCTAGAGAATCCCGTGGAGAGAGGAGCCTGGCCGGCTACGGACCATAGGGTCACAACGAGTCGGACACAACTGAACTGACTTAACAGCAGGGCTAGTAAATAGCGTGATTCTTTCATGATTCTCTACTTGTTAAAAAAAGGGAGGAGAGGGGGAACCAGCCTTCCCACCTGCAATTTCATAGCAGTTGTATTTGAAATACCACTTCAAATAAATGGCCAAATCACATCCTTCAAGGCCAACTTTAAGTCCCAGATTATCAGTGAAACTTCTTCACAGCCACTCTGCTCTTCTCTTTCTTATTTTTCTGTGCTTCTGCATTTATTTGCACATTAATTTGGTGTTAATCAAGAGTGTTTATTTAAAATGTTTATTTATTTGGCTGCACTAGATCTTAGTTAGAGTACTTGGGAGCTCTTAGTTGAGGTATCTGTGATCTAGTTCCCTGACTAGGGATCAAACCCAGGCCCTCTGCATTGGGAGCGCAGAGTCTTAGCCACTGGACCACCAGGGAAGTCCGAAGAATTTTTTTTTAATCATTGGTTCTCTTTCATATTCTTTGTAAATATATCTTAACCAGATTTTAAGTTACTTAGGAGCAGAGACCAGGTCTAATATTTCTTTGCAGAAATTCAATTAATATTGATTCCCTTTTCTCTGTAAAAGAGCCTTTTAAAGTGATGCCAAAATATCTGGACAATTCCTTAACAAAATTAAACAATTGTGTGGCATGAGTGTGGTAAAACAACTATTGAATGTTCCCATGTGTATTCTGGGTGTTGTGTAGAAATTATTGACATGAGTGAGTTTTTAATCTGTTTTATACAGTACCATCTAGTCCAGTAAAATATTTAGTTTTTATTTCACCTTCGTAAACTGGTTAGGAAATGACCAATCTATACCTATTTCAACTTTTTAAATGGTTAGTACCAACAGATTATGTCCAATTTGATTTATTGTGTTTCTAAGAAGCTTCATGTAAGGGTAGCTCTCTTCAACATCTCTGTCTTTAAATTGGAGTACATCAGAATGGTTAAATAGATTGACATAGAAAAAGTAGAAAATAAACAAGCCTAATGTTACATAAATGCAAATCTGGTTACCTTTGCAGAAGCAGTAAAGTGAAATTTTTTCCAATCAAAGTATTTTCCATGGCATAGTACTTTATGATATGACAAGGGATTGGTGATGAAGTGGACATAGTTTCCCATCAGTCTGCAGGTGAAAACATGACCATGTTTCCTTTGATTTGCTCTGAGGAACTCGAGAGGATTGGCACCAAATTGCAGAGCACAACCCAGATACGGAATCAGCCCATTCTCCAGAGGTGGTTCACCCATCTGCCTGTAAGAAACAGAGATGGTAAATATGGAAAACTGTACATAGTTCTTTGTTTATGTTTATTTATATTAAATTTACTACCACTGATGTCAAATTTCAAACTCTATAGTTTATTGATATTTTTTTGGTTGGTGGGGCCCTGCTCCTTTACTAAAATAATGAGTCATCTTAACTCAGTAACATGATATGTTGGTAAAAATGATAGATAAATCCATCCATCCATCCATGCATCCATTCAGCAAACATGTATGTGTGTGTGCGCACACACATGTGTGTGTGTGGTATGCTCAATCATGTCTAACTCTTTTGCAACCCCATGGACTGTAGTCCGCTAGGCTCCTCTGTCCATGAAGTTTCCCAGGCAAGAATACTAGAGTCGGTTGCCATTTCCATCTCCAGGGGATCTTCCTGACCCAGGGATCAAACCCACATCTCTTCCATCTCCTGTATTGGCAGGGGGATTCTTTACCCCTGCACCACGTGAGAAGCCCTTACTGAATGTCTAATATATGCTGCTCATTCTTCCCAATCATGAGGATAAAAGGGTCAACCAAGGCCACCAAGATTTTTGCTCTCAATGTAGAAATGAAATTACTTTGTAGTGTTTATATTTGTTTCTAAGCATCATTTGCCTGCTGCTGCTATTGCTGCTAAGTCGCTTCAGTCGTGTCCGACTCTGTGCGACCCCATAGACGGCAGCCCACCAGGCTCCCCAATCCCTGGGATTCTCCAGGCAAGAACACTGGAGTGGGTTGCCATTTCCTTCTCCAGTGCGTGAAAGTGAAAAGTGAAGGTGAAGTCTCTCAGTCATGTCCGACTCCTAGAAACCCCATGGACTGCAGCCTACCAGGCTCCTCCATCCATGGGATTTTCCAGGCAAGAGTACTGGAGTGGGTTGCCCTTGCCTTCTCCGATTGTTTTCCTAAGTATCTCAAAAAGTTTTATTTTACTGTCTTCTCTAAAGGAATAGCATACTGAATGACAGAAAGGATTGCAGCATTGAAGTTTTAAAAATCTTCATAGTTTAAATATTTTATTATTCTGTAATGATAGCTGAAGAGGGAAATCTGAGAAATTAGCACATTATAGAGTGAAGTTGAATAAGATAGGTATTGACATGGTTATTGATTATAATTTAATGTTCTTTCTTATAATCTAGCATTATAATTTAATGCTCATGCTATTTTAAATGTTTTCATTTAATAAAATAAACATTTATTTTCCAATAGAAACCACTCTCCCTCTTTGTAGAATAACATAACATGAAATAATGATTTTTATTTTCATAGTTTGCAGGTAAGTAATTTAATTAAAAATAAAAATTACCAGGCCTGAATTAAAATACCAAAAAGGGAAAAAAAAACTGTTAAAAGGTGGACAACCCATAGCAGCCTACATAGCTGAAGATATGCAGTGGATAATTCTGTTTTGGAGACTGACATAGTCAAGAATATTTATGTGCCCTCCCCCAAATGCTCTTTGAACCAATCAGAAATTAAATAATTATGGTGGATGTATCTGTCTTTATTGTATTTCTTCAACCAATTGTAAATGATGCACGCAAATAAGTGATGTTTCTTGTGTTTAGCAGTTTTCCAATTCACCATGTTTGATTATCATTAGTAAGAGTAATAGATGCTTAACCCTGATGTTAGGGGGATATGGGTTTGACCCCTGGTCTGGGAAGATCCCACATACCGCGGAGCAACTAAGTCCATGTGCCACAACTACTGAGCCTGTGCTCTGGCGCCAGCGAGTCACAACCACTGAGTCCACACATCACGACTCCTGAAGCCCATGCAGTTTGAGCACCTAGAATCTGTGTCCCGTAACAAGAGGAACCACTGCAATGAGAAGCCTGAGCACTGCAACAAAGAGTAGCCCTTGCTCACTACAACTAGGGAAAGCCCTCGCAGCAACAAAAACCAAGTGAAGCTAAAAATGAATGAATAAATAAAATAAAGCTTAAAAAAAAAATAATAGGATGATCACTGCAGGCTCTGTGCTCTTGTTCAGCTTAGACTGAGTGTATACAGTGCACAAGAACTAGCTGAAAAGAGAACATTTATTTACTCAGAGCATCTATTTAATCTACAAGAGAGGAACTGTGGATCCCACTTGCCACATCTATGCTTACTAATCCACACTTTATATGCACACATGGACACACAGACATACACACACACACAGATCTTACAAAGTTTCTGTCAGTGATGTTTAACAAGTTTGTCTTAAGACTAATATATTTCAATACTAAAAAGGAAACATTGCCATTATATCTCTTGTGAGATATAATAAAAAAAGATACTTAAAATATTTTTTTAATTTAAAAATATTAAGGAAGAAAATGCTAGCATTTGTAAGTACAGAAAACGAACTGCATGGTATAACAATGAAGGTTAAATAACTTTAAATGAATGAACAAAAATGCAGTTTAAAGATAAAACTTACCTTCTTCTCATTCCAAGAAGTAGGTATAAACAATAGCACACTGCTATAACAATCCCCCAGATCAAAGAGAGGCTCATCATTTTGCAGATCTAATATGAAACCTCTGAGGAGGAGCGTCTGCTATGAGAAAGATAAGGATGTAACCACAGACTCCAGCTAGACTTTTTATACATGGTAAGATGCTTCACTTGAGTGACCAAAGCAAACAATTAACCATCCCTATTAGGTAAAAAAAAAATAAAATAACTGGCCTTGAACTAAGTCCACAAGTATCAGAAGAGGTTCCAAAACAATCAGAGGCCTGCCATACTTGATAAGTTGAAGGTCACTCAAACATATGTTGACTTAACATTCAGACCTGGGAGTGACAGCCAGTATTACAAATTTAGGATACTTATGAAAAGAACAAATAAACCTGTTCAAGATGAACATATCAAATAGAGATGTAAAATATAATAAGGTAAAGAAAGTAAGTAAAAGTTATCATTAAGCTAATGATTTGAATTTGTTACCTTTAAAAAGAAATCATTTAAATGATTCACAAGAGAGAGAGCTGTAAAGTTCAAAGGAAAGAGAACTGAGTGAAATGTTTCTGCTGCTTCATGTTTCAGTGCTTTTACAAAATCATAGGTATTTTACTATATATAGTAACATGTTACTTACCTATCACCCTCAAGAAAGAAAGTATCCCACACAAATTCATCTTCCAACTGAACATGGTCTGTTTTTTTAAGTCTTTATTAAATTTATGACAATATTCCTTCTGTTTTATGTTCTAGCTTTTTGGCATGTGGGATCTTATCTCCCCAACCAGGGACTGAACCCACACCCCCTGCAATGGAAGGCAAAGTCTTAACCACTGGACTGCCAGGCAAGTTCCCCAAAGCACAGTTTATCTTAAAGCATCAAAACTTTATCAACCACTTTTTTCTAATTGAAAATAGGTTTATTAATTTTTCTAATTCAAGACTAACTGAAACATATCTTAGTAGAAAGGGAAAGTCAATTCATAATTTACCTCTGCCACATCTCCCCACTCAGAACTGTTAACTGTTTGGTGTGTATATCCTCCCAGACTTTATTTCTATGCACACTTATGTAGTAATTGAATGTCTATTCTATACCAAGAACTCTTTTAAGGTATTCTGACTACAAGTATTAATAAGATGGGCTGATTGCCTGCTTTAATGAAGGCACTACTTTAGTCGAGAGACAGATAATAAAATATAAGACATAAAATAAAGCAAGGTGCAGACAGCTATCAGGGCATGAGAGCAACTGTAGGCATGGTGACTTGCTCTTCTGAGATCAGGGGATTAGCCAAGACAAAACGAGAAGGACAAGAAATCCAAGAAGGAAGAGCAAATGCAGAAGTCCTAAGTTAAGGATGAACTGGTCTATCTAAGAACCAGAAAGGGTGTAGGATACATTGGAGCAAAGCGAATGAAGGGAAGCTTGATTAAGATGTAAGACAAAAGACAGGCAAGAGCTCAGTCACATATAGGACGCTCGAGAGAAGGGAGAGAGATTTTGGAGAGCAGCAGATCAAAACAGTGTCTTCAGCTACACAGACTGCTGTGTCGTCAGGTTAACAATTGAACTTGAGTTTGAAACGAGGGAGAAAAGTCAAAGATGGAAATAGGAATCACAAGTCATCAGTGTTTGAATGGTGTTTAGAGCCCAGAGACTATATCATATTACCTTGGGAGACGATGTGATATTGAAAGGTATGAGTCGCTCAGTCGTGTCAGACTCTTTGCGACCTCATGGACTATAGCCCGCCAGGTTCCTCTGTCCGTGGAATTTTCCAGGCAACAGTACTGGAGTGGGTTGCCATTCCCTCCTCCAGGGGATCTTCCTGACCCAGGGATCGAACCGAGGTCCCCTGCGTTGCAGGCAGATTCTTTATCATCTGAGCCACAGGAAAGCCCAGGGAAACAATTAAGCCCAAGAAAAGAATAGAATCCAACACCTGACCCCAGAGCAGCCCATTTCTTGAGCTCGGTCAGAGAACGACGAAGAGAAGGTGGGGAAGAAACAGCAGGAATAAAGCCAAGAGAACACAGTGTCACAGGAAGAGGAAGATGCCCTTGAAGAAAGATGAGTACATCACAGGCTACTCTAAGGTCAAGGAAGAGGACAGAGAAAGGACTGCTGGATTCGACAATGAGGAGGTAGCTGGTGAGTCACACATGGACACACATGCAAAGATGGGATTCCATTAAAGACTTTATATAGCACAAAAAAATGAATATCATGAATGTTTCCCATGACAACACACATCTGTATGTATTACTTTGTATCTGTAAGATCTCTTCATTTTTTTCTGTGTGTATAGCCTTCCATTGACTAAATATACTATTATTTAGTTAACTGATTCTCTACTTGGTTTCCAGTTCTTGGCTACAGAATCCATAGATTCATTTCATGCTTTTTTGCCTCCCTAAACATAAACTACAAATATTTTCTTGTGGGTGATTTGTGATCATAGTTATGAATATCCACCATTCTGTGGCAGTACATGGAATTTTCAGTCCATTTAAATATTTTTAGGGCATTGCGCCCATTAAGTTCATTTAGACTGATGTGCCTTTTTGAATTCTTATGTCTGTTTTCTATATGACTCATTAAAGGTGAAACCTTTACATTAGCTGGCCTGTCACAACAGAATGTCACAATCAGAGTAAACACCAACCTAAGAGCCAACCAGTTTAACCCTTGGGAGTCACCTCTCAAGCAAACAAATGACAAATGTGGAAAAAATGGTACTTGGGACCTCTAGAAATTATCTGCAGTTTCTGGTGCATTTATAATTTTGTCAAAATTAGAATGTTTTCAAAATTCTAAGGGAGAAGTACATTCACAACTCCAAGAAAATATTCTTAAGTCTTGTCTTCCCCATCCCCTCTTAGCACACCATGAATTCCTTTCAAATACAGCCTGGATTCCCTTTCAGTTCTGTTCAGTTCAGTCACTCAGTCGTGTCTGACTCTTTGCAACCCCATGAATCACAGCACACCAGGCCTTCCTGTCCATCACCAACTCCCAGAGGTTACTCAAACTCATGTCCATCGAGTCGGTGATGCCATCCAGCCGTCTCATCCTCTGTCATCCCCTTCTCCTCCTGCCCCCAATCCTTCCCAGCATCAGGGTCTTTTCCAATGAGTCAACTCTTCGCATGAGGTGGCCAAAGTACTGGAGTTTCAGCTTCAGCATCAGTCCTTCCAATGAACACCCACGACTGATCTCCTTTAGGATGGACTGGTTGGATCTCCTTGCAGTCCATGGGACTCTCGAGTCTTCTCCAACACCACAGCTCAGAAGCATCAATTTTTCGGCGCTCAGCTTTCTTCACAGTCCAACTCTCACATCCATACATGACCACTGGAAAAACCATAGCCTTGACTAGACGGACCTTTGTTGGCAAAGTAATGTCTCTGCTTTTTAATATGCTATCTAGGCTGGTCATAACTTTCCTTTCAAGGAGTAAGCGTCTTTTAATTTCACGGCTGCAATCACCATCTGCAGTGATTTTGGAGCCTCCAAAAATAAAGTCTGACACTGTTTCCACTGTTTTCCCATCTATTTCCCATGAAGTTATGAGACCAGATGCCATGATCTTAGTTTTCTGAATGTTGAGCTTTAAGCCAACTTTTCCACTCTCCTCTTTCACTTTCATCAAGCGGATTTTTAGTTCCTCTTCACTTTCTGCCATAAGGTTAGTGTCATCTGCATATCTGAGGTTATTGGTATTTCTCCCTGAAGTCTTAATTCCAGCTTGTGCTTCATCCAGTCCAGTATTTCTCATGATGTACTCTGCATATAAGTTAAATAAGCAGGGTGACAATACACAGCCATCCCTTTAGCCTCATCTATTCTTCTTACTTCTTCTCTCACTGTCCCTCTTCTAGACAAAAAAAGCACAGGACACACACATCCCATTTTCTTCAGTGGGCTTAGGAAAAGCAGAGACACAAATGTCCATGTTCATATTTTTCTTTGTGGTTTACATCTTCCTTCTAGGATGTCACTTCTTTCTACTGTCCTGTCCACACAAGGATCTGTCGCACCCCTAACACACTGCCGCTAATCTGCCGAGTGGGGACTGAGATGCTCCTTATGTCATCACAACTATTCTCGGGTTGCAGGTAAATACCTGCAAGGTCTCCTGAGGAGTCGAGCACTCCAAGTTTCAGGCTTGGGCTCCACGGCATCTCAGGGTGGCTAGCGCAGTGATCGGAGTATCAGGAAATGAGCAAATGCCAGCTGAATTGGAAAGACATTTGCTTACTTTTTTATTCTCTGCTATGTTTCAAACTGTGGACTTTTATTAGAAACACACACACACATGCTGAGCATGTGTGTCAGACATGGGCTCTGACCTATGGGGTTTCCACAGCAACAAGACAAAATGTAAGTGCCCTGATGCAGAAAGGAGGATGTTTGAGCTGCCAGAAGGCCTGGCGCGAACCGAGCTTATATACTCTAATCCCTCTGTAGTCTATCAATTTCCTCTGTATGTAAAGGGTAGTGAAGGGTCCACGCTGATGTTCAGAGGAAGAGCTTGTTCTGAGCCTCAGAGAACACAGAGCCCGAGTCTAACACCCCATCCCATGAACACGGACATACAAAACTTGGGAACTCAAACTAGAGGAAGAGAAGGTGGAGAGAACTGCTCAAGCTATCTGCTTATGTAACCTGATGGCATAACTGGTTCCTTCTAGTTGTAAACATAGTTTACATATGTGTGATTGTTCGAAATAACATAAGCTGTCAATATGGTTAAAGAGTTGAGTCAAACCAGTTGTTTTCCTGAATTCACAACTAAAACTAATTCAATGGTGGAACATGTGTGTATGTGTATGAGCTTGCGTGCTCAGTCATGTCAGATTTGTTGTGACCCCATACACTCTAGCCTGACAGACTTCTCTGTCCATGGAATTCTTCAGGCAAGAATACTAGAATGAATAGCCCTTTCCACCTCCAGGAGATCTTCCCGACCCAGGGATCGAACCTGGGTCTCCTGCATTGCATGCAGATTCCTTCCAACATGAGCCACCAGGGAAGTGGCAAATCCAGG